CGGTGCCAAGCTTTCTCCACTGAGAAAGCACGAGCCGTAGTATAGAAAGCAGCAACCACACCAGTGGAAAAAGCGCGATCCCATGCACGCCAAACAGACGTAGGATCTAAGGCTGCCCGCTAAACGCGAATGGGGGGGGGGAACTCCGATACTCGTCACTGAGCCTTAACGTGCCCTAGTGGCACACATGGACAAGTTGCACAAAGTCATCGATCACAAAGTCCTGGTGTGCCATTGCTTGGTGAATTACTTCGAGGACGCAAGGCACATCGAGGCGTGGTACCTGCCCGATATGGTGGTAACCCGCAACCCGCCTATTCTCTTGCCTTTTCTCTCCTTCTCGAATTCAGACTTGGTTCTGAGGAACCGCCTGATCGAGTCGATCCAGCGTCCGGGGTGCATTTATCAAAGAAATGTTCGCAGCAAGAGTGTTCGTCGGTGCACCGGAGTCCATCTTGCGATTGAAGGCGATCATCTGGACGCTGGTCAACGCATATGATGCAGTTGTCCACCGACGCGGAGTTGCACAACAGCCAGAGCCTACTGTAGACAACCACTCAGTGGAGTTGATCCCTGAAGTGGAGTCCTTTGTTTGGGGGGCCATCAAGGGACGTGTCCATGACTGCACCAGTCCTGAAGGGAGGTATTTGTCGAGGTCGCCAGCATCATTCCGACTTTGGCCTTGAATGTGACCTTCACCGCATGCAGAGCTCTCAACTGTGATCACGCCAATGACGGAAAGAAGCATGCCTTGTTGGAAGGCAGGGCCGATTGCGAGCTGGACAAGCTGGGCAAGCGGGGTGCGCCTTACGGATGCCGAATTGCTGGCGTCGATGGAGCTGTTCGCACGGTGCCAATCGCCAAGTCCGCGGCTTTGACACGCTGAAGGTTGCACGCTTTCCGGCCGCATCTGCAGCGAAGTCCGACCCGGACGCACCGTCTATCCTGGACGCCTGGTTTCTTGGGAAGAGCTTCCACGATGCTGACAGGTCTGTAGCCAACGCAAGCCCTCACATTATGCATTAAATCCTGAATTCTAAAATCACAAGCTTTTAGGTGCACTTCCGACTGGAGCCCTAGGCTAAAGGAAAGACCTGTATAGAGACCATTTTGAGAATGCTCTTGGACTCCCCGGTCGGACATATAGGTACCTGGCGTGTTTTCGTAACCTCTGTTTTTGGACCACCAACCACGCAAACAAATATGTATTTTATCCTATCAAAACAGAGGTCGGTCATGTTTGGGCTGCCCAAAACGGTCAGAGAGAACGACATTGAGCCTCCTGAATCTGGGTTATTCTCCGACCGAAAAGACCACGTGCCAGCCATGTCTGGTAGCTACTTGTAGCTTCTTGTTACTAGTAGCGATGGCCTCCATCCGAGTAGCGACGGCCTCCACCCTAGT